CAGCTGATAAAGAAAGGGAAATTTGGGAAAGGAAGACAGTAGTATTAGTAATTTCACACAATAAGAAGTTAGCTTGTGGGGCTGGAGAGGTGGCTCAGAAGTTAGGAGCACTGCTTTCACAGAAGTCCCAGGTTCGAGTCCAGTACCCACATGGTCAGTCACAACCATCTTGCCATGGTCACAATATCAACTGGATTTCAGGGTAATCTGATGCCCTCTTCTGGCCACCTAGACGCCAGGCACACATGTGGTACACACACACTCACACATGCACATACACACACCCCTATAGGTATGTCTAAAATAAGTATTTCAAAAATCAGCCTGTATACTGACCCTACCTGATAAAGATGTAGAGGTGCAGTTAGCCATCCATATCCGATGGGCTCCACAACCAGTGCACGTGATCACCTGTGGATCCATGATACTCAGAAGAAGTTACATCTGTATTGAACATATAGAGAGTTATTTCTTGAAAGTATCCTATTCCCACTATCTATACAGCATTGACATTGGATTAGGTTAGGCATTATAAGTAATCTGGATATATGTATATGTATGCATATATATGTGTGTATATATGTGCACATAGGAGATATGTCCCCTCAAGTGCCCACTGATTGTGGTCTTTGCAAGAAGTTCTGGAACCAATCCCTGGCAAATACCAAGAGACCATCTATCTCATTTGAAATTACAAATGTAGCCAAGAGGAGAAATTAAGAATGCAGCTTACTAAATGTTGAAATGAAGAAAGTTAAAGAATTAGGGCATAGTGTTGAGACTACATCTATGGTAGGGCTGTAGACCTTGTCTAGTGTAATAAATATAGAAAGAAGGACTATATGCTGAATTAAGGAGATTCGCATCTGAAACATGCTAGGAAGAGCTTGCCTCTGGGGAGTGGGGCTATGGCTTCTCTCTTGTTCTGTTTCATTGGCCCTCCTCCAACCACAGGCCCTGACTTTTGTGTCACACAGCATATGCATAATAAATGGCTTCAAGTCCAGAGAACCCTTTTATAATCTGATTGTTTTCCTGAGTGAAGTCTCTGGATTTTCAGACTTCTATTTCTGGATGTCCTCATGTCACTTAGAGTTTAGTATATCTAGGGCGCAGGAGAGACGATGTTAGACCACTTGCTGCTCTTCCAGAGGACCCAAGTTTGGTTCTCGGCTCCCATGGTAGGAAGCCCATGACTGACTGTAACTCTAACTCCAGGGGATCTGACACCTTCTAGACCAGTGGTTCTCAACCTGTGGGTCACAATTCTCCCCAGGGATCACATATCAGATATCCTGCATATCATATATTTATGATTCATCCTAGTATCGAAATTATAGTTATGAAGTAGCAATGAAATAATTTTATGGTTGAGGTTACCACAACATGAGAAACTGTACTAAAAAAGGGTCCTTGCATTAAGAAGGTTGAGAACAGCTATTCTAGACTCTGAAGGTACTCACCTACACATGACATACAGACTCAAAGACACACATACATATAAATAAAAATATGCTTAAAATATGTTTTAAATAGAAATCATTATCTTACTCATGGAATATATCTCTCTATTCTTTTTGTTTCCAACAATAGAAATACACATATCTTTCTTTGACATTTTTACATTTACAGAGTTGTACAGCATTTCCATAATCCAGTTCTGGAGCAATTCTGTCTCTCTATAAAGATCTCTTATATTTGCCAGTAGCTCATGCTTCCAGCTCCAGTTCCAGGCAGCTGTTACTCTACCTGTGTCTCTATAGGTTTGCCTTTTCTACACATTTCATGTAAGCAAGGTCATATGTGTACTCTCTTATGACTCGCCTCTTCACTTAGCATGTTCTGAAGTTCATCCATGTCTTAGCATATATGACTACCTAACTCCTGATTGTTGTCAAACAGTACTCCAGCGTATGGCCAGACCACAACTTGTTTATCCACGTGTTAGTTGATGGGCATACCGATTGGTTCCAGTGTCTACGGATTGTCAACTGATGGACATTTAGATTGTTTCTAGTTTGAAGACAGCAAGAATGGATGTGTTCCGATTATCTGTCTAAAGATCTTTGTGTAGACCTGCAATTTCATTTCTTTCATATACATTTGAATGCTAGATTTACACATAGCTTTTTTTCCCTGCTGCCCCGGGACCCTAAGGCAAAACACATGCTAGGCACACACTCTGTCACTGGGTTGCGCTCCCAGCCCTTATGCGTAAATTTTCAGGAACTCTCAAAGTGTTTTCCAAAGTAGATGTACCATTTTACAGGTGGGTCAGCAATGAATGTGGGACTTGGTTTCTCTGTATTCTTGTCGGAGTTTGTTATTGCCACTACTTTGAGTTAGCTATTCAAGTGGGTTCAAAATGGTAACTCATCAAGAGTTTCTAGCCAATAGTTATACTTTGTTTAACTTCAGCAGTGTTTGAAAACTACCCTTGATTTTCTCCTCTTACTCTGCTCCGTTGTTCTGTGATGTGCCTCTTTAAGGATGTCTTTAATTATTGTTCTTTACCCTAATTTCTATTGCTTTATTTTATTTCTTCACTATTCTTGATTACTAGAATAACTTCCAAACTTTTTTTCTCATGCCAACTATTTTCTGTACCATCAGAAAATAAACTTTCTAGCATGCGGATATGACCATGCAACTCCTTTCCCAAAAGCTCTTCATGGCCTTCCTGTTGCCCTTCAGATGGTATCTATGTCTTGATTCTGCGTTTGTCACCCCTGGCCCTCTTTGCTCCACGACCTCACACTACCACAGATCTGTACACCTTGACGTCTGTGCCCTGCATGCATCCTGGCCTGGGACCTGCTGACAATTAGTTGACCACCTTGGATCTTCTTTCTTTGTGCTTTCAAACATTGTGTGAAACGTTCCTCCATCTCTGCTTACAAAAGCTTCTTTATTCCCTAGGTTATGTGCAAACAATAACACTTCTTGGAATCTCTCACTTTTCCTTATTAGTTAACCATATTGATGTTTTTGATATGCGTGTGCTTATATAGTGGTACACAGCCTAGGCTACACAGCAAGACTCTGGGTTAAATAATAAAATATACATAGGAGTTGGCGAGTACCTTAGACTGACCCACATGAAATTATCCTTGTTCTAAGTAAAAATCTCCTTTATGAGTTTCTTGTGTTAGTCTTCTGTCACAGTGGGAAAACCCTGAGAAAGTAAAGGGAAGGAGAAGGGATTTACTTTGGACCACAGCCATGGTCCACAGCTAGTTGTCTTCATTGCTTTGGGGCCTGTGCTAGGCTGAACATCATATCAAAGAGCATACAGCTAAGCTCTTTATCTTGTGGTGTCTAGAAAACACAGGATGGGCCAGGATCCCAGTATCCTAGTTAAGGGCCCATCTCAAAAGACCTAACTTCCTCCACTAGGTCACATTCCTAAAAGTTCTGCCACTCCCCAGGAGAACCATGAGCTAGGGACCAAACCATTCAACACACGTGCTTTAGGTGGGGCACATTTAAGATCCAAACCACAGAGATGAATCAGTGAAAGACTTTATTTAGTTACTTGTTTTATGTTTTTCATCCTGTGTCCAACCGTTGGTGGGCATTTGTTTAAAAGGTATCTACTGCTTAGCACACTTGTTCCCAGGTATAATGTGAAATTGTTCTTAAATACCAGGCTTTCACTCAGTGAAATGCTAGCTTGAAAATCTTTTTATTTTCTAATTTAGAATCACATGTATCCAGGAAGCACACATCTGGCATACCCAGGATCTGGTAAGCTAAGGCAGAAGGACTATACATTTTAGGCAAGCTGGGCTACACATAAAGACTCTATTTTAAATAATAAAATAAGGAATCACATAGCTCTCCCTGTTTTTAATTTCTCATGTATAAGACAGCACAAATCATCATAACATGTCTTTTAATAAATGCATCTTGAATGGCTTAAGGTCACGTGATTTCCACTTGCAGTTTAGTGTTCATTCCTATATTAATTGGCAGCATAATAGTTTCCTAGTTCAGATAAAATAATAAAGAATTTTTTTATTATCTCATTTTCAGTCTCAAATACTATGTGCTCAAATGATTTATGTATATATGTATGTACAGACACATATATGTAATGACTATATCTATAAAAATTTCATTTGATATGGGAGATAATATGAGCAATGAAAATAAACTTATAGTCAAGTTTTTTAATATATATATATATGAACAAATGTATTTGTTTCTGAGTTTTCTACCTATGAAATAATGATGTTATCTTAATTATGAGTTTTAGAAAATAAAATCATCTAAATGCTTAGTATACTTTATATAAAGGAAAACCCCATACTTCATTTAAAGAGATTTACATGTTAACGTTTTAAAACATGATTTTTGGAACTTAACTTTTCTTAGTGTATATGAGGCTCAGGGATTGTCTCAGATGGAGAGAAGATTCTAAGAGCCAGAGATGGGTGACTCCAAGGAGACAGGACTTAGACACAGGCGTTCAAAAAGATTGTGGCAGCGCACACAAACGGCTGTGTCACGGTTCTCCTGAGAACTTATATCATCAGACCCACTCTCAGATCCATCGTTGTAGGTGGCACCATAGGTGTGAGCTCCATTTCAACTATTTCTCCGTTTTATAAGTTTTATAAGTTCAAGTCATTACTTGTACAATTTACATAGTCTATAAGGGAAATTATTTTTTAAACTCTGTGGTGCATCCGACCATTAGTTTCACACCAAAACGCCGTCTCTCCACAAACTTACGTAACACTCATCAGTTATCCAGACATGCAGAGATTAGGAAGGGCTATAAGAATGTGGCTTATTTCATAACTTTGAAACTTGGACTGCACTTTAGGGGTGCCACCTACTGCAGCTCCGTTTCTTAGTGAAATCCTGCCCATTTGCAGTTTGGAAACGTGTGGGCGTGGTTCCCTTGGCTGCTCCTGACCTCTGCTCGCACCTTGGTCTGCCTTGACCTCGCCCACACTGAAGTGACATAAATCAGATTTTTGACACGTTCTAAAGTATGAGCCACCGCTGCCGAAGCACTCAGCGTTCAAAAACTTGTGAAACGCTGCATGTCTAGAGAAATTTACTTTTTTTATGAGAATATAAATTTTTGTTGAGGTAAGCCCTGTTTATTTGGGGGAAAGGAGAAAACAGTGAGCCAATGGTTATATGTTTACTGTGCTTGTGTGTTCTCTCTCTCTTTTTCTCCCTCTCTCTCACCCTCTCTCTCCCTCTCTTTCTCTCTCCCTCTCTGCTTGTCTGTAAAAGAGATTGCCCCTAGAAGACTTTAATATTGCATGTTCTTACACGAAGTAATAGATTAAACTTTCATTACAGTCTTTGTACTAAGACAAAAGCTTGCAATCACAATGTAAGGATAAATACTTTATCTGCAGCTCTATTTTAATGCCTTTGTTTCTGTTACAGTAGCAAACTCTACTCATAAGCATTGTCTCAATTAACCGTGCCAAATCTCCGAGACCGTCAATTGATTGACAGGCCTGTCAAACGTGGACATGCTCTTATACAAGTTTTAAAGCTGTAACCGAAGTACTTAAATGCTTCTTGAGATTTTTCTATAGAATGGCCATTATCAACAAATTGAAAAGTTGGGAGGTCATAGCTTCGTCATAGAAGTTAGGTTTCTGAGGGCTTCGTGGTTTAAAAGCACAGATTTCTCTGGAGGTGGCTCAGTTGAGCACACGTCTGCACATCGCCATGCGCGTTTGCCAGCAAGACGCTGTGACACCGTCCTCACCCAAAGCTACACTTTGAACATCGATCTTTGTTTTATCTGTTCATGTTTCAGTACTGTCTATGTGTCTACGATGCTTGGATTCTGTCAGGCGTGTTTTGTTTTCAGCATTTTAGAGTTTTGCTGATGGAACATTTGGCACGTTATAATACCCTCAAAACAATAACTTTCCCTAAAATATAAATTTTAAATTATTTTAGGTGCTGTTTTTCAACTCTAATCCTTCTACCGAGAATGAAACTATTTAGACATTAAGATGCCAACAGGTAATTTCTTGTAAGTTCATACTTTTTGTCTATGTGTGAATTTATTTAGTAAGAAAATAACAAATGTATATTAATATAAAGCTATATTGTCCCCCATGTAAAGCCTTCCAAAAACATTAAATAATTTAGCTTTAATAGACATAAAGCTATTTTGCTTTTTACTTATATTCTATTGGTTTGTTTTCCTTTTTACAAAGTGAAAGATTCTACCTTTTTATCTCAAATACTAAGTAAATGAAATCAGAATAAAATTAGATTAAGAGGCAGTAATTCAGGTTAGGTGAGTAATGCTAGAAGCTGGATTATTAAGAGATACGGCTTTTTATAAAAATAGAAAAGGGAATCTGAAAAAAAGAAAACAACTTTGGGCCAGTTTTTTGTTGCTGTAACACTAAATTCTTTGTAGTGTTTTTTGTCTTCTTTAGTATTGTATACCTTTTTTATGCTTTCATAGTTGCAATCTGAAACTGACACAAATTTTTCTTGTTTCTAATTTAAACTTTTCAAATTCAGATTGTAGATTTCTAACTCTTTGCAATTATATGTTAACAGGTATCAATATTTTAGAAAGTCAATATACTAGCAAGTTTTTTTTAACAGCATATCGTTTTTTAATGCCAAGTTGGATGTCATATAAAAGTAATGCATTTTCTTCTTCACATTAGAAGATTCTAGATCATGTTTAAGGCAGAAACAATGGAACTAGCAATAGGCAATTTTAAAGCAATATGATGTTCTCTTTAAGGAGAAATTCTCAATTTTCCCATGTAAATAGCCGTCAATGAAGACTGGTAAAGGAAAGGTCAAAGGTTAAAGAGAAAGTAAAGGTGGAGAAAAAGTAGGGAAAGAGGAAAGCAAGAGAGAAAACGTGACTTCTTTCCTTGGTAGTCTGACATTTGGGCTGGATCTAAGCATCAGGCTAAATTTTCAAGGATTTTTTAGAGGGAGCAGCTATCATGGGAATCCCCTTCAAATTAACCCTCATGTGATTGTTTCCTTTGTTTTTTTGATACTGATATGTAAACATTTTTTTAGAAATCAGAATCAGAATCTATTTTAATTATCTAAATCGTTCCCCACTATAATTTACATATAGATATATCAACATATATCTATACATAAATATTGATATATATCAATATATATACACACATATATATATACACATATATATACATATACACACACATATATATATATACATATACACACACATATATATATATACATATACACACATATATGTGTATACATACACACACACAGACACACAGACACACAGACACACACACACACACACACACACACACACACACACACACACAAACACACATATATATATATATATATATATATATATATATGACATAAACAGTAAAATAAAGATCTAAATACAACTTTGTCCAGGAAGTATCTAAGTACTACAGAATTCTCGGGCTGCATGAGGGACAGGCAACGTTTTGTAGTAAGGCTGTACTTTAACTGTGAAGATTTCTTATTTCTGTTATATAGCTTCTACATTTATTATTGTCAACAGCCATATCGTTGAGACAGAATGACTTTTCTTTTAAGGGATAGATGCTCTTGTCCATGAAATAAGGAATAAAATTGTTTTACTTTGTGAAAAGAAAATTCATTCTTGTAAAGAAAAAATGCTGATTTGTTCTTAGATGAGACATTTCAACTCCAGGTGGCCTCAGAAAAGCATTAACCGTGTCTATTTCATATGCATGTGTGTTGTAGATCACGAGCAGCCCTGTGGTCCCAGGCACAGGTCATTTTGCCTGAATGGGGGGATTTGTTATGTGATTCCTACTATCCCCAGCCCATTCTGTAGGTGAGTGATGTGGACTGGGGGAGAGGGTGATTTCAGTTTCATCATTTGATTTTAAAAGAAGGTAAAAAGTATAAGATGAAGGGGAGTCGGGATGTTCTGTTCTCTCTACGTAAGACAATAAGCTTCTGGAAGAAAACCAAACAAAGCAACAGATACAAATCTCAATGTGGTGGCCATTTTCAAGCGTGGTTTGGTAGTTACCAAATCCTAGGCAGATTATAAAGAAGAACGCACTCAAGAGACCTTTCTGAATTTTAGTATTTTAACAGTTTAGAGAAAATGACCAACATTGGTCAATATTGTTAGAAAAACACATGAGAAATCACTAGTATAAAAAGCTCAAACAAGACATTTTTTTTTTAGAATACTTAAATACAAGGTAACAAACTAGTCTTTAACCTTCTCTTCCAATAGACAATAACCACTGTTTTAAGAGATTTAAAAGACATCATAGTTCACCCTCCAAATTCTAATTGTTCAGTTCCAAGTTTAAAACTTTCCATTGTGACTTTTTCTTTAACCTATGGATATTATTTCTTGGTTATAATCCCTTAATGTGTAAATTAATTGCATCGTGGTCAGAATATTTGAACCCCATTGAGTTGTCTCTGCACCAAATAAGCTAAAAGGCAGGTCTAAGAATACCAGGATTTGGAGATTCACTAAAATGGGAAGGAAGCTTGGTTGCCTGCAACTTTTTTACTTGGATAAATGTGTTTTTAGTACATGTCTGAAAAGTTATGTACTCTGGAGAATTCACCGGCAATGAAAGAGAACAGGCAGTTTGCTGGTAGAATACCAAATTTAAGAGTGTGTCTAGTTCCTTTCTGATTCCAATTTTGAACAGCAGTAGTGAAGAGCCAACAGCACACTCTGAACTTGTAATGGGTAGAGGGTGAGGCTCAGAGAGCTGGCCACCGTAGTGTGTAGCCATAAGTCAGTGGGGTTGGCCCTATCTGGCAATGAATGAACCATGTAACCAAGAGCCGTTCAACACCCAGGAGGAAGAGGGATGGGGCTGGATGAGACACGTGGGCAGAGGAGATTGAGAGTTAAGGAATAGAGTGTCTGAGGGTTCAGGTGAGTTCAATAACAGACATTTTAACTCATGTATTATTTTATTAAAAAATAATTTCCTTTCAATGACCTTCAACATTCTAATATAGTTGTTATTGTTATAGACTGTAGTAGAAATATCTGAGGGTGATAAATTCCTTTTCTGTCCCTTCTATACTATCCCCTGTATTCCCTATCATCTTGTCATGGAGAAATCCAGACTCATTTCCAACTGGTTTTGCTGGTTCAGCCAGTTGTCACTTTGGATTTCTTCTTTGCCCTATCTCTTTAATCTCTCCAGTCCTTTCTGTTTTTACTGTCAGACCTTCCTGGCCCCAGGTTTGTCTAATAGAAATAGTTCCCAAGCTAACTCCTGGAGCCCCATTTGCATCACTGTACCTACGAGATCACGAAAGCTTCAACAATAGCCCCTATACCTGCACACTGACTGTGTCCTTACTATCCTGCTTCGCTTTTTAGGCCTTTTTACAGTTTGGTACCCAGCCTACCTTTGTGGCCTTTGCCTCACACTCTGTCAGTGCTTGATCTAGAAGCAACTGTTTGCATTAAATACACTTTGCATTATGCTGGTTACCTTGAATTTGCAACTGTTCTGCCTCTTCTTTGTATGCAGCCACATTCAAAACCTATTAATATTTCAAGGCTGCCTTCTCCCTAACCCTCGACCCCACCATAAATCAGAGCTGACTTCTCCCTGTGCACTTCTACAGAAATAAGGGAAAGTTATTACTTTATATGTTTGGTCATTTGTATACTCAGTACTATTTTATTAAAATATAAATACCCTCTAGTCTGCCTCACCACCTGTAGACTGAATGATTCATTGTCCATGGTGAAGTTTTAGAAATAATTTTAAGTCTGAATCAGTGATCAGTATTCTTTAGGGGAACAGGTAAGTGAATTCCGAAAAAATAAAAATGAAATTCTACAATGGTGATGTCTAAATATGTCTTGCAGCTCTGATACAATCTCTCCGTGCATACAGTAAGTGGCATTTTCTCCTCTTGTCTGTACTTTTTTCTCTGTTGAACATTCTTAGAACCTACTCTGGATTTCTTTATGTAATTTAACTAGCTAGACTTTTAAATAAATTTCTTAAGCTAACATCTTAATTGAGCAACTGATGTCAATTCTTCAGTAATACTTGGCCATGGTAGCTCAGTACTCAGAGCTGGAGGCAGTAAGCTCACTGCGGGTCCATGGCCAGCCTGGGAGACTCTGTCGCTGGTGTTTGTTAAAACTGGCCTCAAAGCCTGGTTCCTGGACAGAATTTGAAGTGGTCAGCCTGTGCTAGAGGAGAGAGTGAATTCTTAGAGATGGGCCAGGGTTGTACATGTCCAATAGACCAAGCTTCTCATTTTCCTGAAATATTTCCTGTGTCTTTATCTGTTTGGTTTCTCAATAACTAAAGAGCTAGGCCAAACATTCCTTCTGTAATTTTGAATCTTCAATGTGATTTCTGATAATTTTTACTTAAAATATTTTGAAATAATATTATTAAGCTCATATAAATATATAATGGATTATTTTCTGGTAAATGTCCCTTTCATCTTCGTATGATACTGACCTTCTTTGTCCCTAATAATGGTTTCTGTCTTTGCACATATAGTTCATTGACATTAGGGTGGCTAAACTAGTTGTCCCTTATTGAATATTTGAATAGGAGATTTTTTCCTTCAATTTTTTATTAAATGTAAGCTTAATAAAAAGCTTATTAAGAGTAAGCTTTTCTTAAAAAAAATTCAGTCTGAAATGTTTTTCTTTTAATAAGAGTTAATCAAATTTTGTTTTTCTGGTTATATTATTAAATTTTTAAATCAGCTTGTAACCATCTTCCCTTGTGATCTCTACTGTGCTTTAAAGATTCCTTCTGATCTTTTCAGTGTGTTTTGTTTCATTTTATTTTGTAGCAAGATCTCACACTGGCCCAGGCTGACCTGGAACTAACTCCTCTTATGTAATCCAGAATGGCCTGGAACTAACTCCTCTTATGTAACCCAGGCTGGCTGGGATTCAGGCATGTGCTGCTGCCATCCCCAGCTTCCTACTTCCCTTTAGTTTTAGGACCTTGAACTATGTGCATCTAATTAGGATGTATAACACGTGTGCTAAGCCTGACTCCATACTGCTCCCCCTGCTAGAGATGCTGTACTCCTCGGTCTGTGAGGTACATGGGTTTCCTACTCCCCGTGAAGCCTTCTGGGTCCTTTGTAAGCACCTGTCACCCCAGGGTCATGCTAGCATGAGAGCTGACACTCGAACATTTTTATTTTTATTAAGCCGCAATTAAGTGTTTTTTTTTCTTTGTCATTCTAAGAATTCATTGTTTATGTCTGTGTTCAAACCGTTTATCTAGTTTATGCTGATCTTTGTGTTTGCTATGAGATAACGTTTGTTGATTGGTTTGTTTTTTTTAATGAACCTATGCAGTTCTTTTTAGCATCATGTGGTGAAAACTGTCTTTTCTTCACTGAATGGTCTTGGTGTTTTGACCATGTGTGTGAGGGGTTATGTCTGGGCTCTGTAATTCTGCCGAATTTGGTCAATAGTCTGCACTTAGATTTAAAACAAAAAACAAACAAAAAAAAACCACAAAAAACTAGTTTTATTTTTTTAATGTGTGTAAATGTCTTTCTTGTATGTATATGTCTTAGTTAGGGTTTCGATTGCTGTGAGGAGACACCATGACCAAAGCAACTCTTATAAAGGACAACATTTAATTGGGGCTGGCTTACAGGTTCAGAGGTTCAGTCCATTATCATCAAGGCGGGAGCATGGCAGCATCCAGGCAGGCATGAGACTGGAGAAGCTGAGAGTTCTACATCGTCAACCACTGGGAAGACACTGACTCCCACATGGTTAGCAGGAGGTTTTCATTGCCCACCCCCACAGTAAAACACTTCTTCCAACAAGGCCACACCTCCAAATAGTGCCACTCCCTGGACCAAGCATATTTGAACCACCATTGTATGTGTGTATGTATGTGTGTATACATGTGTGCCATGTGTGTTTCTGGTGCCCTGGAAGATCAGAAGAAGCATCATAGCCCCTAGAACTGTAGTTATAGATGGTCTCAAGCCACCATGTGGGTGCTGAGGACCAAACCCGGATCCTCTGCAAAAGCAACCAGTGCTCCCAACCCCTAAGCCATCTCTCCAGTTCCCCACACTTACATTTTTATCACAGTTGTTTATCATGTATTTGTATGGGAAGGAGTGTGCGTGCCATGGCCATATGGAGGTCAGAGGACGGCTAGGTAGGACTTGGCTCTCTCTACCCTGCTCAGTGGACACCACTCTTACCTACTGAGCAAACCTGCCAGCCCTTATCACAGTATTTTAATAGTGTAGTTTTATAGTTAGTTTTTAATTCAGAAAAGGAGAATTTTTCAATTTTCTTTTTCCAGAATGTTTTGGCTGATCAATGTACTTTAAAAGTCCCTAAGAATCTTCACTTGATTTTAGCCAAAGGCTGAGAAGAATCTTAAGAATCGATGGGCTTTTTATTGTTGTTCTGTATAGATACCCAGTTTGGATCAGATGACCTTGACAACTCATACAGCCTTCTTATTTGCTTATTCATTTTAGACAGGTCTCCTAAGTAAACCAAGCTAGTCTTGAACTCACAGAGATCCACTCACCTCTGCCTCCCACGTGCTGGGATTAAAGGCGTGTACCACTACACCTGTTCATTTCTTTATTCTGTGTCAGATATTATATATGAAAACCATAAAGGTTCAAGGATCTCCACACACTTCTAGCAGGCCTTAGGAACAACAGTAGGGATAGGTTGTCTTCTCAGTGACTGGGACCCTTTGCAGCTCGGCTTCAGCTCAATGTGGGCAACTTCATCTGGTTTATCATGTGTCAAAGATAAACATTAAACAAAAAAATAAAAGAACAAGGTCCTATAAGATTAATGAG